ACAATGTTCCCCTAAACGCTTGTAAAATCTAGGTGGGCAGCCTAAATACCGCCTAGGCGCTAGGCGCTAGTTAGGCGGCCTAGGTACCGCCTAGGTCTAGGCGTACGCCTAAGCGGACTAGGCGGAGGTTTTTTCCTTAGTGTCATTCACTGTTCTCTCAACAATGATTTTCTCAACATATACATGCTAGGTCGATAGATACGTCCATAATCCCCAATAACGTTGCATATCCGCATAAAGGATCAGTAGAGATTACATGAAAAGGAATGTCATTCACATATGCCCTTCTTGCAATATGCTTGTGGACCCAATCTCTCTTCTCCTTCGTATAAACTCCATTCACTCTAGGATGAATCATCTTTTCCTTTAATCTCTTTGCTAGCTTAGGATCGCTACTAGTATAAGCATCCATCGGCCCAACGGTCGGCTCTTTGGACCTCTTTGAAGATCCCCCGTAGGAGAGACAATTTCCTATTCTTCAATAGCTGTCGGATCCAGCTTGTCAAGCTGTGCTTTATCTTGCAACTCCATGATGCAGTTTCTTCCTCCTGAAATTGACATTCATAGTTTCTTGCATCTTCTTACTATCAACGGCCGAAATCTTAGAACACTTCATGTAACTATTTCCTTTGCCGATAATATGTTGCTTCAATCTAAAGATCTCTTTCTTCTTGTGCAACCACAATTTACATTGTACCACACACAAATCATTTAGATCCGGAAGAAACCCATCCCAATCAACATCTTTCGAGTTTCTTTTATCTTTCATAGGAGCTTTCATGAGAATAGAGGTGGAACTTCGCAGATTCCTTAGGAGGAGGAATATTCGACATTCTACATCACAACAATTCAACAAACAAACCATTCATAGATTAAATCATCAAATCATGACAAATAAAAAATTAAAATAAATCACATAACTTGATCTATTAAGTACTGACATCTATTTAGTCTTCTCTTCTGTATACAAAATTGAACAATATTTTAGTCTCAATTATTAATTAACTAAATTAATTAAAATTAACTTAATTGAAAAGTGAATAAAATTAAACTAAAATTAAACAAGATTAAGCTAAAATTAACTAAAATTCGAAACAATGAATAAAATTGAACAAGATTAGCTAATTAACTAAATTAAACTAAATTAAAGTAATTAAACTAACTAATTAAACTAAATTGAACAAGATTAACTATTTACTCTTGTCTAAGTGATCTTTATACAAAATTAAACTAGAATTGAACAACATCATTATTAACTAAAATAAAAAATAGTGAATAAATTAAAAAACAGTTAAAAAAATATTTTTGTTTGAAATTCTACCTTGAAGAGAAGAGGAGAGGACATTAAGCTGCGAATCGTGATGGTGGCAGCTGCTGCGATCCTGTGGCGCGCCTGCGGGGCGGCGGTACTTAAGAGGAGCGGGGTCGCGTCGGGCTCGTTCGTGAGAGCGAGCGGAGGGGGTGGCTGGCAGCGGAGCCTACGTCAGATGGCGGGCATGCTGCGTTGTGTTCCTTGAGTAGGAGGGGTGAATCGGGGTTCACGGTCGAGAGGAGCGAGGGGTGGCTGTGTCGAGCGGGGAGCTTGCGATGCCGGCGACGAGCGCTCAGAGTGTGTTCATCAAGGACAATAGGAGATGCCAGCATGTTTGTTAGGCGTTTGAGAGATTAGGTCGGCGCTGAAGTGAATTAAGAGGGATGGGGGGTGAGAGCGTAGGTTTGTAAACTTAAGTGAAGCGCGTCTCGCGGTTTGTTATGTTCAGGGTTGGGTTTCTAAATAGGTTTGGGCTGGGTTTTAACTTAACATTAGGGGGGGGATTGGTTAAACAGCTAGGCTAAGCAGGCCGCCTCGGTAGGACTGCTGCCTAGATTGGGCGCTCCGACCAAATCTAGGCGGCTAAAGGTCCACTTGCGCCTAGGCGTCCGACTAGAGCGCTTTTTACAACATTGAGTGAGAGTACTAATTTTAGGTATTAATTAGATGAAAATTGCGCTTAATAACTGAAGCCCATATAGATTTTAGAACATTGATGCCAGCCACCTTGGGGGGGGGTGCTTTAATCAACTGTGCTAAGCTATGTTGGGTCAACAACAATGGGGCATCTAATGGAGTAAAGGTCTTCTGTACACATCATGGTGACCTCGTGTTAACACTTGAATTTCTTTAGATTCATTTACGCTAAGTTTTTGCAGTGGATTTCGATAGGAAGATGACAATCTCGGGAGCTCTGTCGATTGTGTCATGTTTTTCGCAACTTGGACAATGGTGTCATTCAGATTTATAACAAATTAAATTGTAAGCACCAATCTAACACCTTTAGCAGTACCGGCCTACAACACCTATGAGGTGTTGTGTTGGAGTGCATAGCTGGAGGTGTTGTGTTGGAGCGCATAATGGACTGATGTGGCGTATGCAATTCAGTTTGTAGTGAACAAAAAGAAAGTAGAGGCTCTGGAATTGAGCTGGTACACTCTTCAGGTTCCTTTGCGCTACTTTGTTGCAGCGGAAGGGCAACTGTTGGAGCTCCGCGGTTATGCCATGTTGTTGGCAACTTAGGTGACTGTCATAACAACTTAAATTATAAGAACCAATATGACACCTTCAGTAGTATCGGTGTGCAGCACCATGAGATGTTGTGTTGAAACACATAAGAAATTATGGTCATATGCAAGTCAGTTGGTAATGGCCATTTAACGATTGAGTTCTATCCATGTGTATGACAACTGACACTTATCCATATCCATGCACTAATAGTTATTCCCAATGGATTTGATCTTATCTCTGTGGATGGATGGCAGCCCGATCCACCATTTTTAAATAATTAAAGAATGATGAAGCATATTTTCGATTTAATTCATACTCTTTCACAAGTTAAATTTGCCTTCCAATGTAATGCATTTTCAGCTTAATTTTATATGCGTTTGCATGTGTCTTGGAAATCCAGTTGTTCGTGACTGAATACTCTTTTTAAGAAAAACCATGCATATGCATACAGACGAGTTAGTGGAAGTTAGCATATTTGCCATAGGGCTTGTGAGCATCCATGCTGCTGTCTTTGCTTGTGGAACCAAAAGTAAATGATAGTGGATCTACACATGAGATTGTGGGTAAATCACTACAAAAATTTATTTAAAGTTGCTTGGGTTATTATCTTTTTACGCAGTACATAGTTGAGTTCTGATTATTTGTTTCTCGTGTCATCAAAATAATTTGCTGAAGCATGTTTCAGGTAATGGTTGCCTCCATATGATATGATTTCCCACATTTTTATGTTTCATCGCAATATCAGCATCTTTATAGTTTGTAATGAATCTTTTTTAAAAACCTAAATTTAGAAAAGATCCGACTTTTGAGTATTTTACATAAGTATAAAATCTTGTACATAAAATTATTATTTGCCTCGATTATCACTAGTCTTTTCAATTGAACTTTTGTGGATTTTTGTCCAATAGTCACCTAAATCTTTTTATTTCCCTGGTCACTGTTGAAATCTTAATAACTTCATATTCTTACCTCGAATTATATAAGTCGGGAAAAACCTAACCTGCTGTTATTGGCCCCATAAGGATTAGGCTATACCAAGAATATTCTCTTATTTATTTTGAATCCGTCTAACTAAATTTAATTAAATGAAATGGGACCGAATTACCCTTCTTTCTATGTTTTTAATGAACATTAACTGTTGAGTTCCTTATTAGATCCACTAGAAACTGTTTACAAGATCTTGCTTAGTACATATTTTCTCTCTCTACTAATCCAATCTACATGAGTCCAAGATGGAAAATTGTGGCCGGCTTCTGTTGCCTTGACCTATGAAGCACGGACACGCATAACATGAAGCCGTGTCGTGTCGTGTCCGTGTCGGACACACGTGTTGAACACACGTATCCTATGTATTTTTTAGGATTTGCCTCGTGTCGGCGTGTCGGATGGCCGTGTCGGGGACATTTATAGTTCTTAAGCATGTCAGTTTTCTAACTTATTAATTATCAGTTAAAATCACCCCTGAATAATTGTTCTATCACGAATTGTTAATAACTTTCTCATCTTCATTTATGCTTTGGCCTTTTTCCCGGTTAAACAAAAAGAAGTCAGTTATGAAGTCAAGTGGTTCTTCTTGGGTGATGTTGTTTGTATGCTTTATCATGGGTACGAGAACATTTCATTAGAGAAAAATATATGGAGAATTCAGTTTATTGCATGACAAGGATCCTAGTACATGCTATGATCATGAAATTGTTAATTGTGGAAACTGACAATCTAAACAAACTTAACCTTTACCTAATGGTTTTATGCCTCAGCGAATCTTAATAAACCTGGGTTTTCTTAAGGCAGTTAAGGGATGAAAACTTAAAATCATGGGTGAGTCTCGGAAACTGGAAGCGACTAGGAAAGCTACACTAGCTTGTCAACAAGAAATTTCAGGGTATCATGTCAATCCATTTTATTCCTGAAGTACTTATGATTTAACTTTACACCTTGTTTGGTACGCGGGAATCCAGTGAAGTGATAATGGGATGAAACAAGGAATGGAATGGAATTAATGTGAGGCCATAATGCTTATTTTCATTTTTCACGTTTGGGTGTAATTAGAGAATGAAATGGGAATAAACATATTTGAAAAGTTACGTATTTTTTTTAATTCTCACTTAATGTGAATGCTGATTCCTAACATCTCATTGGGAATGATTATTCTCACATAAAGTGGGAATTGATGAGAAATGGAAATGACATTTCTAGCTTCCAGAAACATGTAAGAGTACAGCTGAACTTCTTCTGAAAGTCTAGCTGGGGTATCTTTTAACCGTGTTTTTCCCCTCCCTTCTAATCTGACCTAAAGCAATAGGTTTGAAATAGTTCTTGTCAACTTCAACACCGAATTTTACATGAAAATGTGACTTAGTTATACCATTTGATTCCTATTAAGCATCTCTGCTGACTCTTTGTAATTGTATTCAATATTTTTTCGACTAATTCTGTTCTATTCATTGAAATGTTGCAGGGTGCATGGCTGCCCTTGATGCTGAGCACTACCTGCAGGAAATTGGAGCTCAGGAGGGCAAGTCCGATTGACTATCTTCAGATGTTGTAACGCCAACTACTCAGTCTATGTTGGCAGCAAGGTCAAATATGTAGTGTTAGTGGGGATAATTCAGAAACATTCAATCGGATGTAGTTGTCATTGCTATGATAATTGTGATTTAGATTCAGGTTGGGTCCTGGTTCCTGTATACTCAATTGAGATATTCGTTGCTTTAGCGCAATTGGGAAACATGATATTACTGTTCCTGTAAGTTACACTGCTCGAGTATTGAAGTTGATATCTGCTTTGCACAATATTACAGGTAGGTTAAGTGAAACTTCAGAATTTTATATTCTTCTCCTTGCTTATGGGTGCCTAATTAGTTGGTCTTAAATGCTCGGAAAAGCAAGTGTTGTGACCCTTTGAAGTTTATTCACTTGATAACGGAGATTTTCTCCTAAACCATGAGATTTTGGTTGTAGCTTCCTACATCCAGGCCGTGGGTTGGCTCAAATTTCTACTTCAGATGAAAGTGCATAGCCAAATTTCTACTTCAGATGAAAGGGCGTACGCCGCGTACCTGGCTACCCAGTTAATTCGGAAAGGGATTTTGTGAACCCTCTTTTTATTCGAATACTCTACGTGCTTTGGTGGTGAGTATGAATAACTTGGCGAAGTTTATAAGCCTTTCGATGTTGATAAACAGATGCATGATCTAATTACGATCCCTTGCGTCATCTTCCCATGATCCCTCTCCATAACATAGGCTGTAGGCTCTCTTTGAGGGGCACAGTGATACTCTCGCAATCATGCAAAATATACAGAAAGTCAAGTCGGAACTCGGCTTACACTGTGAGTAATGGCTGGCCGCATCGGCCAAGAGTGACGGTAACGTGTACTAAGCAATGTAATTTCCCATGGGGGTTGTGAAGGAGAGTGGTCCTCTGTCTGTTAACAGGGATACCAGCCGTTCACAGTTGCAGTTGGTCCCCTACCTATTAAGACACTTCTTAGTTGAATACATGACATGAGCCGTCCTAATAAATAAAGTGTATTGATACATGCTGAACTCATTTTGCATGGTCTCTTCTCAGTTTGAAGTTCGTATTTGCGACCGCATACATTTATGCCAGATAGAAGCCTACAACTATAGTACCTGCTATACGCAGAAACATGAACCAATAATAAGAAAGCCTAAACCCAATTTACAGACATGCAAACCGCACGTTGATGAGCGCAATCACGTCGGACGGAAGGCCAATTTACCGTCTGGAATCCGCGCCTAGCCACAACTTAACCCAGACTTTCTATCACGTGCCCAACCTGATCCACGAATTAGGCTGATGTTCAACCGTGATTAGTTCTGGTGGGGGGAAGTCTTATCTGGATTGGATTGGTCGATCGAGCTGCCACAATGGTATTAGAACGCAAAGAGCTTCACGTCTAATAATTTTCATAAAGGCTGATGCAGAACGATTGAGCTGCCACAACAATGGTATTAGAACGCAAAAAGCTTCACGTCTAATAATTTCATGAAGGCTGATACACTCTACACAGGTCACCAATTAGCATCTTCTTCATCACATTCAGAGCCTTTCGACTAGTTTTGGCTGCAGATCAACTCAAACCAATTGCTAAAATTCTAGTAATAACGCATGTGAAATTGCCGATGTGTGTCACAGAACTTACACGTACACGACAACAGTAGCAAAGCCTTTCTTGCAATTTTTTTGTGACCGTTTACGTAGATCGTATTCTGCATTTCAGTTGCGTGGAGGGCTATCCCAACCCACACATGGGTTTCAGCTTGTTGTAGGCCTTAACACATACTGAATCATGATAAACTAAGCATTGAATCTGAATCAGGCAGAATACAAGATTTGACGTCATTCCATCCTCCTTATAGAATTTTTAAGTTTCATTATCGTCAATATAACCAGTCTGCGCAGGCTCAGAAGATGGCTGTCATACTGTATGGAATGAGTTCACTGTTGGCTTCAAGTAGACCTATACAGCATTAAATGAAGGCAACAACTATAATCTTATCCACAATAAATCACACAATTACTCCAACATCAGTTGTGTCTTCTGCAAATTTTACATCAATAGGTCACGTGCAGAGCACAGGATCAATCTAGGAAAGCCGGGCCTTCTTGTAGTTAACTCTCACATTGTTATGTCTACAACAAAACATCCAGCCCCTCATAAGATTTCTCCATGCTAGTTTGGCGAAGTCTCTAGTGACCTTGCCCTCAAATATTTATTATAAGGAGTGGATTCAAGCTTAAAGGTTCCATCCAAAATTAGCGGCTTTGAAGTATATGAAGACATCGATCATGCATCATTATGTGTAGAAAACTATCCAATGTTTACTGTTGACCGGATGGTTAGTGTACCCACACACACAAAAAAAAAAAAAAACCTTAGACAAATGCATTAATTCCAAACCACCTCTATTTCAAATTGATCAAATAGAACACAGAATATTAAGATCAATTCAGTAATCCAAGGTCGATCTAATGGTAAACGATTTCTTTGACACCACTACTGCAGTGGATAGATACTATATGACACATGTTTCAGTTACTCCTGTTTATATGGAGCATACTACTTGCGATGGCGGATACATTATTTTACACCAATGATGTCTCCATACGACTTTTTTCGTTCATTAAAGCATCTTTGAAAATTTTACGCATGATTTTGATCCTCGTTACTGTCTTCCTGATATCCAACCTTAATTCTAATGGTGTCCTAATTAGCAAATATTCACATGTCTGTGACAGTACTGGATAATTTGTAGATGTCCAAATTAAAGATAAAAAGGTGACGCATGCGGAGGATCTTAGCATGCAGAGCACTGCTTTGCTCTACTGCTAACACTAGCAGATAAGCTCTGGACCTTATCCCATGTCCAGCCCTTAGCTTCCACATTCATGCATACTCTCTCAGCAAGCAAGCAAGTAGTAAATGCCAAAATAACTGCTCTCTTCTTTTCCATTCAAAACCCATACCCTGCCAAGACCTTTGGTAGGCCTAAACGACAGATTTAATTACAGCTGGGCAATCCTGTGGTTTCTTGTTCCTTTTCTCAGCAGTTACAGTATCTTCAAAGACTAGGGTTTTTGACCATCTTAATTTTTAGAAAAAAGAAGAAAAAGAAAAGAAAATATATTAGATTTATATTTAGGATTTGTAATTTAAAAAAAAAATTAAAGAACGGAAATTCTATAGATAGTCTACATTGAACATAGTATCTTACACATTAAGAGGGTGGTAGGGTAGACATCTTAAAGATTACCATTGGCTTCAGGCCCTACTTGCTCCCTGAGCTATTCATTTTGTTCTTTCATACCCAGGGGCGGATCCAGAATTTCAGTTCTGGGGGGCCGCGCGCATACAAAAGATAGACGGAAAATTTTCTTAATGCAATTTTATTCACAAGAGATACACCATAACCCAAACAAAAAGAGTAGAATAGCCAACGTCAATATCTTCAAAATATTTCAAAAGAGGAAGACAAAAAATTATGTAAAATGAATATATTTTAATTTTTAAGAGAGGAGGTTTTACAGAAACCACCCTATCTTTTTTTCCCAAATTTTTTAGGAGGGCGTGGCCCCAAATTGCTTTTAGTCTCTCATCTTACCACCAAACTAACCAATTCGTTCCTATTTACCCGAAACTATTTTCTGTACTATATTACGTCCTAAATTATAACTTTATCCATTTACGTACCCATAAATTAATAAAGCAGAAGTGGTAAGTCGGTATCAGAAGTGATAGTTCAATAAAGCAGAAGTGATAACTTGGCATCAAAAGTGATAGCTCACAGGACAATGTGAGACTAAAAATAGTTCGGGGGTAAAAGGAGCGAATTTAATAATTTAGGGAATAAGATGAAACTAAGAAATAGTTTCAATGAAGGGGCTAGATTGAAGAGTTCAGGGGCCAAGTAGGGCCGAAACCCAATATCACCATTCCCTAGCATGGCCTCATACACCTGAAATGTTCTAATTGAAGTACACAATTTGATAAAGTAGGATGACAAATGTAACACTAAAACTTCAACAAAATTGTCAAAACTCAAAATCTTGAGGACATAATTCACAATTCATTTGATATACAATGTGTTCCATTGAGAGCTAATTTTTCTACAACATAACATATAACAAATAACAAGGCACAAATTAAATCAAAATACAACATCAAACTCATTAAAATAATAATAATAATAATAATAATAATAATAATAAATTTAAAACTAACCTCGATCATAAATATAATAATAATAATAATAATAATAATAATAATAATAATAATAATAATAATAATAATAATAATAATAATAATAATAATAATAATAATAATAATAATAATAATAATAATAATAATAATAATAATAATAATAATAATAATAATAATAATAATAAATTTAAAACTAACCTCGATCATAAATATAATAATAATAATAATAATAATAATAATAATAATAATAATAATAATAATAATAATAATAATAATAATAATAATAATAATAATAATAATAATAATAATAATAATAATAATAATAATAATAATAATAATAATAATAATAATAATAATAATAATAATAATAATAATAATAATAATAATAATAATAATAATAATAATAATAATAATAATAATAATAATAATAATAATAATAATAATAATAATAATAATAATAATAATAATAATAATAATAATAATAATAATAATAATAATAATAATAATAATAATAATAATAATAATAATAATAATAATAATAATAATAATAATAATAATAATAATAATAATAATAATAATAATAATAATAATAATAATAATAATAATAATAATAATAATAATAATAATAATAATAATAATAATAATAATAATAATAATAATAATAATAATAATAATAATAATAATAATAATAATAATAATAATAATAATAATAATAATAATAATAATAATAATAATAATAATAATAATAATAATAATAATAATAATAATAATAATAATAATAATAATAATAATAATAATAATAATAATAATAATAATAATAATAATAATAATAATAATAATAATAATAATAATAATAATAATAATAATAATAATAATAATAATAATAATAATAATAATAATAATAATAATAATAATAATAATAATAATAATAATAATAATAATAATAATAATAATAATAATAATAATAATAATAATAATAATAATAATAATAATAATAATAATAATAATAATAATAATAATAATAATAATAATAATAATAATAATAATAATAATAATAATAATAATAAT